TGTTATTTTTAAGCATGTTATGTGTAACACATCAAATAATTGCGAGTTTAAAGATTATTTTTCTTTGTAAACTATTACTGTTATAATTTTACAATATCACTGAATAGAAAAAAAAAATGAGTTGGTAAGTGTTTATTTCAATGCTGTTTTTAACAATTGTTTATATTTATTATAATATGTAATGCGGATCATATTTAGGTCTGGACTTAAAAAGAAAATTGATCGTACACAAACCAAGGTAATTAATAGAGTTTTACAATTGAAAAAAAAGCATCAGGAATAATGTCTATTAATAATCTATTTGTTTTGGTTGAATAGTTATCACAAAAAATTGGTACAATTGAAAAAACGGTGGGTAATTATTAGTATTGCATTGCTATAATGAATGATATTAATATTATTAATGAAATTTTAGGTTGATAAAGATTTTGATGAAGAAGAGAAACAAATAAAAAAGTTGGTATATTTTTGATTTCAAAATTTATCTTAATAATTTTAATTGTTATAATAATTGTTATAACTGTTACTATAACTTTAATTTTTCCTTCAAAGTCTTGAACAAAAGACAGAAAAAATTCATAAAGAAGCCAAAGGATATTTGGAATCCATGCATGGTCAGTGCATAAATTTATTTGTAATTTGCAGTTTTTCCAAAACTCTAAAAACATACTTTACATTAATTCAAATTATCTAATGTTAATTAATTAGCAATGTCAACAGCACAATTAAAAATAGCAGAAACAATTAATCAATTTTATGAAGACTCATCAGAGCAAGTTTTTGTTGGAAATAAATATAAAGATGCAGTTGAATTGATAGATCATAATTGTAGAACATATTTAGTTTGTAACAAATAAATCAATTAATCATTATCCTAATATTACATTATAATAATTAGGTTATGGTATTAATTATTTAATCTTATGTAGGATGAACCTTACAAACATACAGTGACTAATCCTATTGGAAAACTTTGTGCATATTTCCCAGAAATAAATGAGACAATAAAGAAAAGAGATAAGAAATTATTAGATTATGATGCTCAACGTGCAAAAGTTAGAAAATTGATTGACAAACCAGAAGATTCAAATAAATTATCAAGAGTAAGCAATAAGACAACAACAATACATTTATTGTTATATATATAATTACCTTTAATTTTATTTATATATAATTTCTAGGCAGAAGAAACATTAAACGAGACAAAATTGCAATATGAGTCATTGAATAGACAATTGATAGAAGAGTTGCCTAAATTAATTGATCTAAGAGTTCCATATATAGATCCCTCTTTTGAAGCACTTGTGAAAATACAATTGAAATTTTGTCAAGAAAGTTACGATAGATTAAATGATTTACAAAGATATTTTCCAAGTAGTAATAATAAGGTTGAGACTGTCTTACAACAAATGAAAGAATTATCAATTTGTGGAATAATTTAATAATTAATTATTGATGATGGGATTATTATTAAAATATTAAATGGGATCATTATTGATATATTAAATGGGAATATTATTGATATTGGTGAACAAGTTAAATATTATTTTTAATTGAACCTTCTTCCAATTTTAATATTAATATTAACCCTCCAAGTGCTTCGTGTATATAAGATGGTAGAGGAGTTTGTTCTGCTGATGGCCTGGAAAACATATAATTACATTCTCGCCATCATACCATTTTGCTCTTTATTATAAAATTGTTTGAGTTTTGAGCAGCCGAAAGGAGATAAAGATTAAAACCAAATCGAAGACGACATGTAGCGTCTTTGATGTATATCTTCCAATGAATTCTTTTATGGATTGTTGATTGGAATTTTCACTTCATTGTAACCCCACAAACCCGTCTCTATGTAAATCCAAAAATTGACAAAAAATTAAATGGTTGAATATCTGTGGAAGGACTTTAAACAAATTATTCGATATAAAAAAAAAGATTGAGCAGGATTCCGATTTTTATTAATAAATGGTAGAAGCAATTCAGAAATGTGCCATTAAGAAAAGAAAATGAATAAAGAGATGGAAATGTTGATGAAGTAGATATTAATATCAGTAATGATATTATTGTTGACCAGAGAATAGGTTTGGGCATTTTCCTCCCACGCAATTACTCTGATAGTTTTTACTTATCATCATGTATTCTTTTATGTATCAGTTTTATTGACTCCATATATTGTATTGTGCCCGTTGCAATGTTCATGATGATATTTCATTTGATATTAATATGAGTATCAAAACGAGAAAAAATATCAGCTTGTCCATTTAACCTAAAACCTTTGATGCGTAACACCATATCATGTCTATTTCTTTCTAATACAAGATAGGACAACAACCCTTCTCTTAACTCTCCACTGGTTCCTTTACCGATGATATTATTGCCTTAGAAGTATCAAATTAACCACTAACAAAAAAGAGTTAAAAGAAAAACCTAGGAAAAAAGAACAATATTAGAAAAATATGATAATACGATAAATATCACTTAGCAGTAATAATGACTTTTCCTCACTTAAAAGAATAAAAGAAAATATATAAAAATAAATATATATATATACAATTATACTACTTGAGGCGTTCCACAAGCAATATAGTAAAGGCATTATTTTCGCCTCAACCACAACAACCTTTATTTCAACCGCAACCACCCTTATCATTTCTGCCAACACAACTACAACGATATTTATCGTTCTCATCTCAACCACGACAATTTTTATACTCTAACAGCAATAATATTAATAATTGTGTAGTAATCCCAATTTAAATCCAAACATTCCTTTGTTGAATTATAACAATAACGGCATCAAATATGACAACCACTTTTTAATCCTTTCTATTTCCCATCGTATGTCGCTTATTAAGGATTATAGTCTGAAAATAAACCAGTGTCATCTTGAAATGGAACAAATCATCAATTCTTTGAAAAATCAGTAAAAAGTTAAAATACAAAAAAAATTTTTCAACTAGTATTGTATTATCTGTCTTTAATATAATATTGATTAATATTTTATTGTTTATATCTATTATAACCGTTATTTATATTATTATTACAATTTTATATTTTTCTAAAAATAAATTTTTTGAATTCCTTTATCAGAAAGAAATTCTGATTATTGATCACGAGCTGAAAATTTTCAATTGTTAAACACCCACCCCTAAAACCATTGGGGCCTGATATTATTTGTCATTATTGATATATTAAATGGGAATATTATTGATATTGGTGAACAAGTTAAATATTATTTTTAATTGAACCTTCTTCCAATTTTAATATTAATATTAACCCTCCAAGTGCTTCGTGTATATAAGATGGTAGAGGAGTTTGTTCTGCTGATGGCCTGGAAAACATATAATTACATTCTCGCCATCATACCATTTTGCTCTTTATTATAAAATTGTTTGAGTTTTGAGCAGCCGAAAGGAGATAAAGATTAAAACCAAATCGAAGACGACATGTAGCGTCTTTGATGTATATCTTCCAATGAATTCTTTTATGGATTGTTGATTGGAATTTTCACTTCATTGTAACCCCACAAACCCGTCTCTATGTAAATCCAAAAATTGACAAAAAATTAAATGGTTGAATATCTGTGGAAGGACTTTAAACAAATTATTCGATATAAAAAAAAAGATTGAGCAGGATTCCGATTTTTATTAATAAATGGTAGAAGCAATTCAGAAATGTGCCATTAAGAAAAGAAAATGAATAAAGAGATGGAAATGTTGATGAAGTAGATATTAATATCAGTAATGATATTATTGTTGACCAGAGAATAGGTTTGGGCATTTTCCTCCCACGCAATTACTCTGATAGTTTTTACTTATCATCATGTATTCTTTTATGTATCAGTTTTATTGACTCCATATATTGTATTGTGCCCGTTGCAATGTTCATGATGATATTTCATTTGATATTAATATGAGTATCAAAACGAGAAAAAATATCAGCTTGTCCATTTAACCTAAAACCTTTGATGCGTAACACCATATCATGTCTATTTCTTTCTAATACAAGATAGGACAACAACCCTTCTCTTAACTCTCCACTGGTTCCTTTACCGATGATATTATTGCCTTAGAAGTATCAAATTAACCACTAACAAAAAAGAGTTAAAAGAAAAACCTAGGAAAAAAGAACAATATTAGAAAAATATGATAATACGATAAATATCACTTAGCAGTAATAATGACTTTTCCTCACTTAAAAGAATAAAAGAAAATATATAAAAATAAATATATATATATACAATTATACTACTTGAGGCGTTCCACAAGCAATATAGTAAAGGCATTATTTTCGCCTCAACCACAACAACCTTTATTTCAACCGCAACCACCCTTATCATTTCTGCCAACACAACTACAACGATATTTATCGTTCTCATCTCAACCACGACAATTTTTATACTCTAACAGCAATAATATTAATAATTGTGTAGTAATCCCAATTTAAATCCAAACATTCCTTTGTTGAATTATAACAATAACGGCATCAAATATGACAACCACTTTTTAATCCTTTCTATTTCCCATCGTATGTCGCTTATTAAGGATTATAGTCTGAAAATAAACCAGTGTCATCTTGAAATGGAACAAATCATCAATTATTTGAAAAATCAGTAAAAAGTTAAAATACAAAAAAAATTTTTCAACTAGTATTGTATTATCTGTCTTTAATATAATATTGATTAATATTTTATTGTTTATATCTATTATAACCGTTATTTATATTATTATTACAATTTTATATTTTTCTAAAAATAAATTTTTTGAATTCCTTTATCAGAAAGAAATTCTGATTATTGATCACGAGCTGAAAATTTTCAATTGTTAAACACCCACCCCTAAAACCATTGGGGCCTGATATTATTTGTATTGCCATGTAAAAAATTCAATCAGTAAAAGTCAAACGAATCCTTATAACTTTTGGACAAAAAGTGCATACAGACTTGAGACATAAAAAAATAAAGATATGAGGTTTCGAAACATCCTCATATGTAATAATAACAATAAAAAATAATAATTAATAATAATAATTAATATCGAACCCCCTATCGAAAATCATGTACAACCTAGATATATCTCACATGCCGGGATATATAAACAACACATAAGATAAAAATAACGAAGCTAACAACAATGGGTATTCGTGATTAGTGAGGGATATTAGTCTAATTATTTATATAAATAAGATCATGCATGACCATCATTGCAGCTGCACAGCGAAGCTTTGAGGAGTCTTAGACTTTGATGTGCATGGCATAATAATTTGTAATTTTTGTGAAAAAATCTACAAAGTCATAAATTTTTATATACAGTATATATAAGGTAATATGTATATGAAAAATGAATACATACCTTTTTAACGGCTCAGCTCCAACAATATGGCAGACGCCTTAAAAAGAACCTTTTACTGCTGGAACTACAATACATCTCTTTGTCGAAAACATATCTTAATATGCTGATGAGACACCAAACAGATTAGGTTTTATTTTCATGAATAATTAGAATTAATTCATTTATACACTAGCTGGACAAAAGCATTTGATCACGTATTTACACTAATTAGTAAAAACTCTACATAACAACATCACACGAAATTTATAATATTATGCACCTAGGTTTTGATAATTATATATTCGAAATTTCAAGTTGCTAGCTCTCATATTCATGCATGTATCAAATTTAATAAAAATGTTTTTTTTTTCATGATCACCCAAAATTGAAATTATTTATTAATTTTTCGTTGACTGCGATTCAGATGTTATCACTATTGTTTTTTTAATCATTAATTTTCTAGACACGATAGAAATATGAAATTTCATATATTTATTCTTCAAAACAATATCCCTCATTTATATAAAATTTACAATTTTTTATTATGTAAATTTTTTAAAAAATGTGAAAATATAGCAAAATGTTTAAATTTTTTATTTGGGTTTTAGTTTTTTTTATTAATCTTAATATTTGGAAGCTAGCAACATGAAATTTTGAATATATAATTATCAAAACCTAGGCGCATAATGTTATAAATTTCGTGTAATGTTGTCATGTAGGTTTTTTATTAATTAGTGTAAATACGTGATCAAATACTTTTTGTCCAGCTAGTGTATGTTGATATTCTACTATATGTTAATGTTAACCTACACGAACTATACCACTCGAATGGGAAAATAAAATGTATACAAGAAAAATTTTGGTGGGAATAAAGTTCAGTTTTGAATGAATACAAGAATCTACTCTTAGGCAGTAGAAGTAGTAGAAATATTAAGGTTGTCATCATAGCAACGAAATAAAATCACATTACAATATTTAATAATAAACTTACACTATATAATAAATAAAATGTTATCTCAAGTGCAATATTTGTTTACACTTTGCTGTATGGAGGCTTTTCAATAGAAGTGCACAAAACTCTGAAAACCCAATTTTATGTAACTTTTTAGGTAAAACATTTTTGGATTAGAAATCACGACCACTTTACATAGCAAAATCTTGGGATATTTTCTTTTGGAGTTTCAATAATAATAGCAAATCCAAGCATCATCTTTAAAGTTTCATGCGTTCTTATTGAAAAACAAGGCCCTGTATTATCAGCAAATTTGAAATGCTCCCAGACAACGTCATGAGTATTTCTTGATGCTATAGCTAATAAATAATCCATCTATTTGACGATTAAAACCTTTGACATTCTTTCTTTGTATAAACATAGGGTTCAATAGTATCAATCGATCAAGTTAAATAGAGAGTTTGGACATTGAATCTTCTTTATTGGTTGCTGAGATAGCCAACAAAAGGTGATGTTTAAAAGTCTTGATGAAACACAAGTTTGAAGTCGATTACATACTTGACTCAAGAATTGAATAATTGGAAAAGATGTTACAAATTTTGTGCAACAACGTTCGGGAGTAACAGAAGCATTATCCAAGTTAATGCTCACAATTAGATGAAACAGAAGTTAGTAGTTATGATGATGTGATTACTATTGTTGTCAATTAATATTCTAAATTGAAGTGTTCTTCTATACCTTCTATAGGATTTCTTTCAGTTAATAAAATATCTAATTTTACAACTCCAATCATGCCCGTCAGTACATATTGGTCAATCATACCAAGTGACTCGTCATTTGTATCATCATTGATGCTGTTTACGAAGAAGAGTCTGCAAGAAATTCTTTCGTTGGTTCAGGTGTGTTATAGCGGAATATATTGGTCCTTGGGTAAGTGTTTTAATTCCGCCTGGCTATTGATTTTACAACATAGAATACATACATGTTCACAACTAACGTTGTCCCGATTATGAGTCCTTTTTTTTAGAAAAAATACTAAGCCTATAATCGATTGGTTAGTATATGCGTCAATAATAAATTATCGTATGTACGGTATCAATGAATGTAAGCTTTGCCTCGTCCTCTTCCATTCATAGGGTCAACACAACCGTTACCATTTTGATGAAGATTTAATTGTAAAAACCACCAAGTAATTCCCAATCAACGAGTGACAAGCCAATTTCTGAAGACTTAGTCTTGTTAAAACCATGAAAATCACGGTGGATAAGCCAATAAATGGCGTCGCTGTTGACTTGGTGATTTGTGGCAGAGATTGGAATCGGTCAAAAATTTGTTAGTCGATTAATCAGTCTTTTTTTTTGGATCATTCAAAATATAAAATAATAATATCAATACGAATTATTTGTAATACAGCTCAAGCTTGATTTGATTAATCATTTGAATAAAAATTTATTCGTTTTATTCGTTCTATTCTTAGTTCGTTGATTCGTTTTATTCGAATTATTTGTTTTATTCAAAAAGAAACCTACTTCTAAAAAAAGATCGATCCTAAATACTAATACTCGTACTAACACTTACTGAAACAATATTTTTATTAATATTAATTGATCAAAATTTTTCAATTTCTACGTCCTTTGTCTTGGGAAGGACCTATGAAATGGACTTTCAATTAAAAGAACGGGTTACGGGGTGTTTTGAACGCCATTCAGGTAGGCAGACAGTTGTTCACGTAAACATCATTTGCATGTTCTTTGTCTAATGTTGATATAATCTTTCTGGAGCATTATTAATAAAAAGGATGCAGCATATCAATCTTTGTTAGGAGAGAATATACAAGCAAACAAAATAAGACAAATTTGATCAAACCAATGCTTTATCCTCCAATTAAAATAATAATAGGTTTCCATCAACAGATTAATAGAATGACAATGTTCTGCGTGCTTATGGTTGTTTTGTGGATATTTTTTCAATTTAGTTTCAATTTAATTAACACTGATATAAGAATGAGCCATGGTTTTTTATGCAATCTAACATTTCTCTGTCAAAGAAGATCTTTCCAAAATAACACACGTAAACTCGAGAAGTCAACTTTAAATAATTGATTGAGAGGACCGACTTGTTGAGTTGTTAAGTTTACCAATGTATCTATTTTTATATTATTTTTCTCACAATTTGTTTACTAACCTCTTTATGTGCTTGTTTCTTTAATCGAAAACTTCTTTTGCTAATTTTCTTTCGATTCAAGGTAAAATTTTCTATAGACTCCTAGGAAATTCTCAAAGTTTTTTATATTTTCATCGTTCTTGTTTATTCAAATTGACCCTTCCTTTGTCTGCTTCTCTTTTCTCTCAGTAAAGGATGAACTTTCAACCAACATCCTTTTAATTCTCATTATGTTCAAACCTTTAATTTGCAATCTATCAATATTTTTTGTTCTTTTGGTTCCAAGTTTTGTTTAATTATCCATGTTCTTTCCCATTCCTTACTGGCTTCTTGAAGTTCTCCTAGTTTATCGAAATGTAATTTACAATTGATTTGGTAGGTTACCATAATATTTTCATAATCCTGAGAACATTTCCTATTTTTAATGATTTTTCAGTTATCAAAATCATTTATTTATATGAACACCTATTAATTAAATCTACTAAATCTTGGGGATGTTTAATTTGTTTGGGGAATTGAGGTCTTTCTCCACGAATGATTTTTAAGGATAAATATAAGTCGTGGGCTTGGGTAGTAAAAGGAAGTAAACCAGTTGGTATTTCGTAGGCAATAATGCCAAAGGAATCCAATGAATAATCATAATAATCTAAATAATAAAGTCGAATAATTTGTTAGCAGAAGTTAAAATTAGTTACAACACAATAAATAGACAACTAAATTCTTTTTTTTTTCAGTTAATCATAAAAGATTAGGTTCATTTTTGCCCAATATAATTATGTATATACAAATTTTATTAAATAATTATACTCTATAAGTAGACTTGTTTGGTTGAATTAAGTTTGGAGGTTAATGAATATTATCATTACTGGTGTTCAATCTTACATAAAGAGAAGAGCAAAAATGAGAAAATAAAAGCAAAAAAGATATCAAATAATTCATTATCCTATTAAATTATTAAATTATTCTATTAAATTATTAAATTATTATCATTGTTAAAATTACATATGATTAAAAATATAGATTCTAATATAATGCCAAAATTCAATTCTAAAAAAATTATATATGCTCTAATAAATAAAGTTGTAAGTTATAAAATTATGATTGTTCTCTTCCGGCTTCTAATGATTCGGCCTTTTTTTGTAAATCATCCATAGCATCAAATATAACATCGGTTATTTTAATACGTGTTGATAATTCCTCAGTTTTACCTTCATGAAAATTAATCAATACATCTTTAAAGTCAATTGGATTTCCATAAGCAATTACCATTTTTTTACCAAGAATTGGAATCCAAGGACGATCTCTTTCCTCTGGCATGATTTCTTCCAACCCTATAGTAATAAGGATAATAACAATAAGATTGTTATATATATTATTATGAATAAACAAAAGTATTATATTATATATGTGTGTATTATATTAATAATACCTTTGTGCCATAATGGTACAACTATGGGTGGATTTGATGATTCCATTAATAAACGGCCAATTCCCCATTTGAATTTAAGCATATCCAATGTTTGATTGATTTTTCCCTCTGGAAATACATGAACCTAAAATAGTGTATGTTGCGTATGAAAACATTGAATATGTTATTTACTTATCTATTTTATTTGTGTTTATTTTTATTTTTATTTTTATATTTGATCGAACAATAATAATCTTACCCAATTACCATCATTTAATCTGTCCAATGCAAAATCCATAGCAGGTTGATAAATGCCAGCACCTCTAACAGTAGGTACAACTTGACCAAGTGCAAATATCTTTGAAACTGTACTATTTTTATTATAATGTATTATTAATAGTAATATTATTAGATGATCTTAAATATTGTCGTCGCGATTATATATACATCTACTTACGGTGTGATAAAACATAGTTCTTGTGCACCAAGAGTCCAACGTACTTTTTCACGATTTAGAAATACTTTGAAAGGAAGACTTCCCCAAATTAAAGGATCGTCGACCCTAATTAGGTATAAATTTAATCAAATCAATCAACCAATATATAGTTAATTAAATATACATATTCGGTATAAACCATACATTCAATCACTTACGTTGATAAATGGTTTGCAACTTTTTTGTGTTAGGATATGATATGATTCCAATAATTAATTATTAATTATTAATTAATTAATTAATTTAAAATTTTCCCAAAATCGCATATTTTCCCCAAAAAAATAAATCTTCACCAAAAAACATCCATACCTGTCAATATGGGACGTGTTCTTTTTGGATCCATTAATAATTTAAGAAATGGTTCTTTATTAAATACAGTAGTAGAACTATTACAGAATTTCAAAAAAAATTTACAAATAAGTACACAAGAACATATTGCACACCAACTAGCTAACATCCATAATCTATTTGTTGCTGGGGTTAAAAGCATTTTTCCATTCTTGACAAAATATGGCAATGGAACATTTACTGATTTAATTGTGGTGAGTTTCTCGATTGTTTCTTCAATATTAGAAAATGATGATGACGGAGAATAATTTGTTGTATCTTCTATTTCTTCTGATTTTGGTGCCATGTTCTATCTCTATTATTTGTAATGAGTTGATAAATAAATAAATGCAAAGGTAATTGAGAAAGTTGTATAATTTAAAAAAAAAATGAAAAAAAAAATTTTGCAATATACATAATAACTTAACATAAGAAGGTATGTCGTACTACCATCAAAAATCCAATAATGACCATATTTTTAAATTAAAAAATCAGAATGGCTTTTTACTTTTATATTATTATTATACTGCGCACAGAAAATCTTTTGAAAATAAAAAGTTCATTTTTAATAATTACTATTTATAAATAAATGAAAAGTATCTAGCATCATCCCCCCAAAAAAATCAAATCAACAAAAAATCAATTGGTAATCAAATATTCTACACACCCCCGTTGTTTCTAAATTTGCAAAGAAAAAAAAAGTCTTTTTCTCTCTTCTCATCTTTTGGTTTCATATTTAATTTCTTTTTTTTCTTTCTCCAAATAAATAAATAAAAAAAATAATTTATATTATAAAATATAATATTATATAATAAATTTTTATTACATCTTCAAACTTCTCCTCATTTTATATATATACATACATTTTCTTTAAAAAAAATGGCACTTAAAAGAATCAACAAAGTAAGTTTATTATTATTGTTATTTCAATGTTAAGCGTAAAAGGCCTTCGCAGGGTATTTTTATTGTTGTTGTTTTTTATTTGCACAAACGGCATCAAACCCCAAAAAAGCTGATGGCAGAAGTTTCAATTATTATTATTTTATTATTTATATCGTTACATTTAATTAAAATGAATTGTTATGAACAAAAAATATACAATTTTTTATTGCCTCTGTCTTTTTACTTTTTAAAAAACAATTATAATCGAAACCCTTTTTATTGTGTTTTGGTTTGGTGGACAGATCAGCCTTTAAATATTTATATGGTACACACCAATAATTAGTATCCAACGAAGCCATCAAATTATATTTATTTCAATATTTATTATATATTTTTTTATATTTTTAATAATAGTAATAGTAATAACAATAATTCTTTAACTTTATATATAATATATATCAATTGCGGTGTATACTCATAAACTTTCTACATCTCTAATAATAATGATAATTAGGAATTGCACGATTTAGGGCGTGACCCACCATCATCTTGCAGTGCTGGACCTATTGGTGACGATCTTTTCCACTGGCAAGCTACAATTATGGGACCCGTAAGTTCAATAATCTATATATATATATTTATATATATAGTAATATAATCATTTTGCTAATAAATTTATGGAATTAGACTGATTCTCCATATGCTGGCGGTGTGTTTTTCCTTGCTATCCATTTTCCCACAGATTATCCGTTCAAACCACCAAAGGTAAGAAATAATAATTTTATATTGTTAATAAATTATTTATATTTTTATTAATATATATTTGTGTTCAATCGATTAACATACTAATACTAATAAATGTAATCAATCATAATATTGTTGTATTATTATAATCAAATTATATATTATAATTATAGGTTAATTTTACAACCAGAATTTATCATCCGAATATTAACTCTAATGGTTCCATATGTCTGGATATCCTAAGAGACCAATGGTCGCCTGCTCTAACTATTTCTAAAGGTAAGAGATAGATATTATGATAATTATTGTGATTAATATGCATACATAATATTTTACTAATCGAATTATAATAATAATGAACATCATCATCATTCACCAGTTCTTCTGTCTATTTGTTCCATGTTGACTGATCCTAATCCAGGTAGATATTAAATAATATGTGTGCGCACACTCACACTTGATATAATATTCACCATTATATCAGTTATTAATAATTAATTGTATTAGATGATCCACTTGTGCCTGAGATCGCACATGTTTATAAGACCGATAGACCTCGTTATGAGGCAACTGCTAGGGAATGGACACGTAAATATGCTAGTAAGTGATTGATTCATATTATTATAAATTATTTAGTGTTTTTGAAGATAAATTTTATTAACAAAATTTTTTACTTTTATTTTTATTTTTATTTTTTTCAAATACTATTAATAATAAATAATAGTGTAAAAGAAGAATTGGAATCATTAGTTATAAATACAAATTAAAATTTTTTTATTATATATATTCGATGCCTTGATTACAATTATTTTTATTAAGTTTGCTTTTTTCTTTTTATATATATAAATACACATACATATAAACATAAATATATATAATAATTATATATTTATTATATATCTTAATAAAATTTTTTATTAATCATTTTTTTTATCTTTTTGAAATTATGTTGATCATCATTTTATTATAATACATATAGTAATCAGAACAACAATAATAATACATTCGGTTAAATTATATATACGCGCGTGTTTAACTAAAAAAAGAGGAAAAATAAAAATACAATCATTATATAATTTATTAGAAAAAATTTTTTTTTGTGGGTCTGTCTATAAACTCAGGCCCTGCTTTAGAAATGTCTTACACGAGGCATGCTGCAGCAAAATCAAGTAATGGAACAATTGTACTACTACCCACAATCAGACTTTACAAAATCATTTATTTGTTCTAAATCATCTTTCATTTGATCCAATGCTTACATTTGTTGGAGCCAGTAGTAAAGCCAATAAAACTAAATTAAGAAAAATTTGAAGGAAACCAATAATAATACTTATCTAAGAAAAATTGTCTTGGTTGAACAGTATCAACTTTAATTCAATCTAAACAAGAAAGTAAAGAAGGGCCTGATAATTTTTCGACTTCGCAGGTAAAAGAAGTAGCCAAAAAGAATAAAGTTTGACGAATCCCACTTATTAAATAATTCAGTATTTTTCATAAAAAATTGGCTTGATTTTCGCAATATTTTTAAGGGAAATCCTGCTTTGATAATTCTTTATTGCAGGGATAATTATAAATTATTTTAATTTTTTCTTTCAATAAATTCTGGGCTTTCGTGATTATGTTCTTTTATTTCTCTCTAATTCCTGGTTGAATTATTTGATCTGCAAATAAGCAAACACGTGGAAGTCTTTTTTCACACCTCTCCTATGTATATTTTCTTTGCTATTCATGGTCTTTGCCTCCTTTTTTTATTTATGTTGCTTCTTCTCCAACGGGATCAATAATAATCTTTTGAAAATCCAAATAGTTAATAAAAGAAAGCATTGCCAAAAAAAGATGTCCTGTTTATGTAATGTGCGGGACCCTGGTGGTAGCACAGCCGAAGTACAAGGAATCTTGGTGGTGATAATTTGTTTACATTGGGGAGCAGGCGTTTAAAAAAAAAAACGGAAATTTCTCTTGAATGCTAAAAATTTCCAAATGAAAAATTTAAAAAAGGAAATTTTTGGGTGCTAATTTTTTCAAATTTAAGAATTTTCTTTATTTTATCCTTATATTTTTTTACTAAGAGCATAACTAAAACCATAACCAAATAAATCAATGCCTTCTAAACCAACCATCATTAATAAGTGCAATGTGCCATTTTCCATTGTATTACATTTGATAATATTCTGTTTGCTAAAACCTCTTTCACAATCTACACTAGAAAATGGAACCGATGCACTATTTCTATAAGTTTTAAGATATGAATAAGACTTGGAAGTTTGGAAATTGGAATATTTTCTTTTGCCATCCAGTAATTCATTTTCGTTATATTAATTATATGTTTGTTACCATTATTATTGGCTTTTTTGGAAGAATCTTGCATGGTTATTCTTGCCTTTTCTAGAAGCAAAGAACCATTATGTTGGTTTGAAAGTGCATGAGTTGCTAGAGCAGTAGATTTTGAAACATTCTTTGATCCTAGATAATAACATTATAACATTAGTAAATTAATAATTATGAAATGCAAAATTAATTATATTTATTTGTCACCTTTTCCTGCAAATAGATTTTTTTCTCATTACTTTACAAATTGTGCAAAATATTCTTTTCATTGCTGTATCCATTTATATATGTTAGCCATTCATGCTGAAAACCTCTTCCTGATTTTTAAAATGCACTTTTTTATTGACATTTTAATATTGTTTACACTTAATTCACTATTTTTCTTTTTTTTATTTGATTTTTTTGAAGTAGCATCATCATCTGAACCTTGAATTATCAAATCACCTGAACTTTCTATATCTGATTCATCAATATTTGTTTCATCTATAAATGCTTCATCCCAAATTTCAGTAGTCAAATTATCCAATTCTTGTTCTATACTATTTTATTTTTTTGAATAAGGAAAAACAAATATACATAATTCATATTTAAAGTATATATATTTTAAATTTAATAATTTAATAGCAGTGAAATAAGATTTAAATTGAGTCAATACTTTTCTTCTGAAAATTCAAAAGATACAAATTATGGTTCTTTTCTAAAATATTGAAGTAATGACACACATATACTGTATGTATATATTTAGTATAAATTTTTTTTTATATGGATGGAAAAATCTGTACAAAAAAAATAAAAATAAAAATAAAAATAAAAAGGAAAAATATCCAGCAACTCTTTTTTCCGGAAGTTAAAATTTTTTAAAGGAAAATCTGGATTTTTAAAGTACTATTTCCAGCCCTGGACACAATGGTATTTGGTTCACAATACTGAGCACAATCATGAAGCATCATAGGATATGTCTGGTCATCCAATTGCTCACAGGTTGAACACTGAGCAATGTGAGCTAGTTCTACAAATGTCTACTGCTGGATCCCATTCTTGTGAAATTTTGTCAACCATTCATCAGAGTGATCCTTCTTCTATGGTCATACACCAATTTAAGCTCTTTTTGATGCATTACAAGAATCTGACTTCAAGTTTGATTATCAATGTGATCATCAAAATCACATCACACACCTTTTTTTGCACACAGGATATCCGTTGCCTTGACTCATACCTAACCTGTTGTACTACTTTTGGATTGTACATACAAAACAAACAGATATCATATGCCTCTTCTAAATGTTGTTGGAATGACAAGCTTTAACACAACATTCTTTTCCTGCTTTGTCTTCCTGAAAGACGAAACAGAAGCAGATTATGAATGAGACTTAACTTGTATTTCAAATATCTTCAATGGAATGCCTTATCCTAACATCATTGTCACTGATGAATGCCATTGGTAGAGACTTTCCTGATGCTCACCATCTTCTATGTATTTGGCACATAAACAAGAACATTTTAGCCAAATGTAAATATCACTTTGTTACAGAAGAACATTGAACTAAGGTTGTGGGCAAAACTCCTCCAGAAATCAATTGACAAAGTTTTGACAGGTTACACATTAATTGTTTGTTAGAGTTTCAGCAGAGTTTCACATTTGGGGGTTTTGTCAATTGACAGAGTTTTGACAAGGTATATACTAATTATTCATTAGAGTTTCAACAGAGTTTCAACAGTCATTAAGAGATTTCAGCAAGCAACCTTACATTGGACTGAGTTCATTGGATTGTGGAAAGCAGTCACAGTATCTATTACTGAACAAGACTTCACAACCCAATGGAATGAATTTTTAAAATGTTATGAGTAAACCCAATGTCCTGCAGTATCTTCAAGAAACCTAGTTAATACATAAAGAATTCTTTGTTTCTGTCTGGGCTGATTGTTACTTGCATCTTGGTAACAAAGCAACTTCATGAATAGAAGGTGCACATGCTGCTCTTAAAAAGTGTTTGCAAACATCCACAGGTAATTTTGAATCAGTACATCATAAGATCATATTGCAAGTAAAATCTCAGGCAAGGGAAATCCATGCAATGATCTCTTCTGAATGTCTAAGAGTATGACATATGTACCAAATAGCTCTGTTTGAACCTCTTTTGTATCATATATCTGCTTTTGCCTTGCAGAAGATCCATGATGAGTCAATTAAGGCATCAAATGCAACTCCAGATTCGTCTCTAGATCCTTGCACAGGTCCATGATGGGTCTTCCATGTTCACATCTCATCAATGAACACATAACAAATAATCAAACATTGCAGCAAGCTGATATCCATGAACACTGGTGGATCCAATGTCACCATCTTGAATTTTTAGGAGGTCTTACACGTTCTGTCAATTGAACACTGGTGGATCCAATGTCACCATCTTGAATTTTTAGGAGGTCTTACACGTTCTGTCAATGGTTACCACACTGATCTTTGGCTTCTTTTCAATCTCTTACACAACAATACCAATTCTAGCCACCGCATCAACAAGCTGCTGCTTGTACTCAGTTGGAAAAATTGTCTTCTGCTCTTCCTGATGTATTGGAAAATCCTGCAATTAGTAAGTCACAAGGAAGACCAGTCTACATAGTAAAAATCAGCTTCAACCTTGTTTCGACCCTATTTTGACCAGATCTGCAAATGGTCAAAATAGTTTCAATTTCATGTATAGAAGTGACCAAATTTCAAGAAAAATCTGAAGAGTGGAGTAAGAGACAAAGGAATTATTGGCCAAGATAAAGGGTTTAGAAGAAAAAATTAAGCAACTAGAAGGAGAAAACAAGAAGTTAAAAGAGGAAATGAATGGACAAATTGTTCAAATTGAAGTTAAGAAAACTAAGAAATGACCTTGATTGGAAATAAGAAAGTAATTTTCTCTGTATAAATTGAAATTCATTCCAACTATCAAAGAAAATGATGGATATTTTCCTTTAGATGTAAGTTAGAGAAAATGTTATGGCTTTTGATATCTTATTGATGATAATCCAATGACTATAAAAAAGCAGCTGCAGTATTATGATAAAAATAAGATTTACATTCTTCCTGATTATAAATGTAATAAAGATTTGACAAAGCTGCTGATGAATATAAAAACAATATTTCAAATAATAAAAGAAATTATGATGATAAATCTATTTATGAATAGTAGATATAACTTTTTTAGATTTTATAATTGTATGTTTATGTCATTAGAAGAATTAAAAGGAAAAAATAAATCAATATGTAACAATGAGATTATTTTTCTTCTAAGGATTTCAGTTTTTTGTTGGATAATAGCACATCTTCATTCTGCTTTCTTTTTCTAACATTTATTATTTTCTTTCTTCTTGGTAAATCCCACAGGTAATTTTTCATTCCTTAAATAAGTTTCAAGTGCGTGAGTATCATTTATTTTGAAAACATAAGGTGAAATCTTTTCTCCTTGTTCTTTCTTCAAAATACTTCTAATTGTGCTGTAATTCTTGGGCTCCATGGTAGATTTGATATAAATGAGTTTCATATTAATTATTTTTATTTAGGAGTAGTAATTCCATATACCACTTAAAAAAAAAAAGATAACAGATGGCCATAATAATGATCATGTTACTAAGTTTTGATCTTGGTAATACAACTTTCCATTTTGTC